AAGTACATTTGTGTTGCTTTTTTAACCACAAATTTTTGTTTATTATTGGTGGGTTCTCTTAACTGTCCAATGTTATTTGCCTAAATCGCTTTTTAGTCCTCTTTTATGCTAGAACCTTTGTTAGGTGGGGATGGGAGAGATGGGGATTGATGTTTTTTTCACTGATTTTTGCTCTGCTCCAAACCTTTGCCGTTCTTAAATGTTGCCCTTCAATGTAATGAGTTGAAGAGTGTGCATTGTTTGTTTTTTATACCTGTTTGAGTCCTTGAGATGACAATGTCGTTCCGAGATTTAAACAACGCCTTTCACTCCTGTGCAGCATTATGAAGACCATTTTTCGTGCTATCATCCACGTCTAGTCTAGCATGTCGTCTTTTGCCTCCGAATGTTGTGCTGGTTTTTATCTTTCAACCCTCCTACACAGTTGTAGTTTTTTTTATCTCCCTTTCTCGCATTACCCCACAATCACGATTATTATGAAGTCGATTAGTATGGTGAGGGTGACCAAATTGTTTGCAGCTGTAGGTCCTTCTTTCATTGTTGTTAGGTGCTTGACTTCGGATGCTGACTGCATGTTCATTTACTGCAATGGCAGTAGTTAGCAGAGGAAATAAATGATGATCAAGTTTATTCACTCCCACATTCTCGCCTGCCTTTTTTTTCCTCTCAAATACTGCACAATTTCCTCCACCTACTTTTAGATTCCTGGCCCATAGTGGGAGCAGGTAACGCAAAGCGGTTGAAGGTGTTTCCTCCTACAACCTTTTCCAACCCTTCAAGGCCATTCTACGACATCACCCACGTAGACCTGTCAATACAAGCTAACAAGTATGTATCATCTTCTCATTTATTTACTTATGCTCAAACTCATTCGTGGTTTTGTAGATCACTTCACTCGTTTGCTGGGGAATCGGAAAGATTTATAGTTGCGCTTTGCGTCTCTTTCCGTTGAACCATTTATGTGGATCCACATGCGTTGTCATCCTATTTGACACGCACACACCTCAAATGTCAAGCATTGCTTTCATGCATCCATCCAATCTGCTCACCTGAGTCGGTTGTACAAGTGTAAACCACTGATAGCTTCCATAGAACTCCACTCCTCTTTCCAACTACCTTTCATTTGACGGGACGTTTAACAGGAAGCTCCTTGTTCTCTCTCCATTTACTACTTTCCAATATCATGACAATCATACGATGCGTGTCTACCAACACTGCAGTTCACCTCTTCCCTTCCCACCTCAATTGACTTTCATCCTTTTTGCCAACTCCTTCTCCTGCTTCTCACTGTTGAAGGTGCCATAAGTTCAACCTTATGCACTATTATGTTGTTGTCTTACACGAACTCACTCTGCAAGTCAAGCAGTTAGGGGATCATGCTCATCGGCCTCATCTCTCCCTCTTACACTCCCAGTTCCCGAGTTGTTGAGGCAGATGGAAGGTGCTGAAAAATGTCTCACTGCATTTATCCCCACTTGAGGTTTACTTTCTCGCGTTTCTTACCCACAATTTGATAGTTTACTTACTTATTTGTTGCATGCTGTTTGTTTCGCGCACCGATACAGATTTCCACGGCCGACGCATGCCGTGTGTGTGGGTGTGACTGTGTATGCATAATGGTGTTGGTGGTGGTGGTATGAAATGACGTGTCTATCAACCAAAGGTAAGGTAGACAAAGGTGTAAGAAATTACGAAAAGGAAGAAAGGAGTGTGGAAGTAGGAGAGAGTGGAAGGGAAAGGGCATGAGGGTGGATTTCCTCGGTTTCGCGGGAATGCATGCATGCGTAATTTATCACAGATTGCGGAAACAGGAAGGGGAAGTGGGGTGGAGTGGAGTGAAGAGATGCTGAGGACGGAAGAACAGAGTATGGTCGCGTCTCTATCGATTGAAAACGTCGAGATTGCTGATTGAAGATGTCCTGGATCGCATAAATTTGGGTGATGTGAAACCACTCTTCACTTTGCGTGGATCATTGGCAGTCTTCAAGGCGATTAGACGCTGCCATTGATTAAGCAGTATGCTTGCCTTGAACAACAAAATATATCATCATTGATATAATTTAAAAAGGTCCCCATTGTGATGTCTCCCTTCGGCTTATGGAATGGGAGGAAGTCGAGAATTAAGTTACAGGTGTTAAAGATGAATAACTTAGCCATTTTTGCAACAAGAGGAAAAGTGAATACGATCGGATCCACTGACGTATTCCATCAACTACAGTTAATATTTGCTTTCATGGCATATTGCATCCTTTGGGCGCCAATCCTATTATGCTTTTCATTTTTTTGTCACACTAAGCATTAGACCATAGGCAATGGCCGATATTGAGAAGAAAATAGTGTTGTTTAGGAAGAGCAATTATCTAATATATGATTATCTACTTAAATTAAATAAGTAGATGAAATAACATACCAAATCCGTCTTGAGAGTGCGCACGATGTCGTCGTGGCCATAATCTAGGCAGAATGCAAAGAATAATTGCTGTAGTTAGGTCAAGTCGTCATGCTCATCACATAGAAGCAATAAGACTTCTGCATACCATGAATGACAAAGGAAAAGGTGTCCTCCTTCTTGATGCTACAGCTTTTGATTTGATCGAGGGGAATGAGTTGCTAAAGACACGCAAAACGAGATTGGAATAAAAGAGAAAGGTGAAGAATAGGCGAGACGAGATGAGTCTCTTACCGATTTGCCGCCAAAAGTGAGACGAAAACCATCGAAACTGAGGTCCAGTTCTCCAACACTATTTGTTTCGGCGTCAACGACGTTCACTCGTCCACCCAGTTGATCAACTGTGAAACATTGCAAAAAATGCTCACTTTGCATGTATTTGTGCACTTACGTGAATTTGGACGCTGACAGCAGTATGAAGTCATTTGCATTAAATTCAACCCTACGCCAACCTCATCATAGACCACTCCAACGAGTCAACTCTGTTAGTATTTCAAAATAACGCAAATAAAAAATGAGAAAAACAATGAAGAAAGTCTCCTTTATCAATGCGACCACTTGTATGATTAATTTGTCACTTCCGCACTAATCAACCGGTTGACGAATGGACGATGATGAAGTGCATATCGCTGTACGCAGTCAAGACATTCTCCACTTGCAAGCACACAAAATCCTTCAATTTACGCGACCTTTAACTCAATGACAACAAAAGAAGGCGAGGAAAGGCAAGCAACTCACTAATTTGGCCTTGTGGAGTTTTTGATCTTGCTCGACTTATAGCCGAGGCGATGGAGGAGAAGAGAGAATTTGGCTGAGCATAAAAAAAGGAAATGGGTCATTTGAAAGCGGTGTGACTGGAACGCCTTCACATTCCAGCGTGAA